TCATTAATAGGCTGCCTTCATCTGCGATTGAGGGGAAGACCCCTATGGAGATGTGGTCGGGAAAGCCAGCACATGACTATGACCAGCTCAAGGTATTCGGGTGCCCTGCATATTATCATGTTAGAACTGATAAATTGGAACCTCGAGCTAGGAAGGCCATATTTGTAGGATTCAAGCGTGGTGTCAAGGGATACAAGCTTTGGGATCCAGTGGATAAGAAGATTGTGCTGAGTAGGGATGTCACATTCGATGAGGCTTCTATCTTGAAGCTTCCCAGCTCTCATCAGGTGGAGAGCAACCCGACGGAGGAGATATCGCAGGTGGTGGAGATCGATGCAGCTCCACATTATCCAGATGGTACAGTATCCATGCAGGTGCCGACTGAGGTGACACCAGGCGAGCACGACGGTGACACGAAGGATACGAGTACAAATATGCAGGATCAGGAACCGACGGCTCAGGTTCAGGATTCAATTGCGGTTCGGAGACAGAGGAGAAACATACAGATGCCAGCACGGTATGCCGACACAGTTGCGTATGCACTTCCGGTGGAGAGTATCGATGATTTGGTGCCTACTACATTCAGAGAGGCCGAGCAGAGTTCGGAGGCTGATTCGTGGCTAGGTTGGTTGCGAATGGCTATGCACAGGAGGAAGGTATTGACTATAATGAGGTTTTCTCTCCGGTGGTGAAGCATTCTTCGATTCGAATTTTGCTAGCTTTGGTGGCACAGTATGGTTTGGAATTATATCAGTTAGATGTGAAAAAGGTATTTCTTCATGGTGATCTTGATGAAGAAATATATATGACTCAGCCATTGGGATTCCGAGCTGCAGGAAAAGATAAGTTGGTTTGCAGATTGAAGAAATCGCTATACGGTTTGAAGCAGTCTCCTCGACAGTGGTATAGGCGATTCGATGGTTTTATGATTGGTCATTCGTACACTCGGAGCCAGTTTGATCCTTGCGTATATTTTCGCAAATTGAGAGGAGGTGCATACATCTATTTGTTGCTTTATGTCGATGATATGTTGGTTGCCTCTAGTTCCAGGTCAGCTATAGATGAGTTGAAAGTTCAGCTTTCGAATGAGTTTGAGATGAAGGACTTGGGTGAAGCGAAGCGCATTTTAGGGATGGAGATCGGCAGAGACAAGAAGAAGGGCATGATTTGTTTGACACAAGTGGCTTATTTGAAGAAGGTTCTACAGCGATTCCATGTTAGCATGGATACGAAGCCAGTTAGTGTACCATTGAGAGCCCATTTGAAGCTTTCAGCTGGTCTTTCACCGAAGTCAGTTGAAGATAGAGAGTTGATGTCAAAGACTCCATATGCGAGTGCGGTTGGAAGCTTGATGTACGCAATGGTATGTACGAGGCCAGATTTGTCACAGGCGGTGAGCATGGTATCTAGATACATGCACGATCCAGGAGTGGGTCATTGGGACGCCGTGAGATGGATTTTAAGGTACATTCGAAGTAGGGCTGTAACTTGAAAAACGATAACCGAAAAAATAACCACACCAAAGCCGAACCATAACCGAAAAAACCGAGGAAAGAAAAAAACCGCACCAAACCGAAAAAAATAACCGAAAACCGAAAGGTTTGGTGTGGTTTTGGTTTCGAATGTCTGGAAACCGAAACCGAACCGAAAAACCGAAAAGTTATTTTATTCCCATTTTGGTCTGAATAGGATTTACATTTTACTGACCCGGCTCAGCTTACGGGAAACCAAAACCGAAGAAAACAAGGGAAATGGATCAATTGGAAACTAAAATCTTATGTGGCAACATAGTCAGGTCCCAGAAACCATATTTCTCATGCTTTTTTCTTTTTCTTTTTTTTTGCTTGCTAAATACTAACCAAACACACCCTTAGAACAATGGAAAATAGAGATGTCATTGGTACATGTGCAAGTTGTTGGAAACAATAGCATTCTACCAGAGAACCTCACGTATGAAGAGAACTACCCTCTGTTGTGTGGAAAAAAGTGTTATGATTCTTTAGCAAGACGCATGTACACTCCAATGTCTTCTGAAGATCTTGTTCTTCTAATTCTATGGGGGAAAAAACCTGGATCCATAATTTTACAACTACAAACAAGTGGTCGGGTAATTGATCTTGTTCTTCTGATCTATCATCTTTCTGCTATTCTAGTTTTTCATCACTTTTTCGGAAACGGTTATGTAATATGAGATATTTCTACTTTCTACTTTTCTAGACTTGTTTTCTTTATAGAATAACCAAAAAAACCCCGATATAAACCAGAGAAAAACCGAACCGAACTAAACCGAACACAATTGGTTTTTGAAAAAAATAGTGAAAAACCAAACCGAACCAAACCGAAAAAATAGATCGGTTTTGTGTTCGGTGTCACCTATTAACCGCACCATTCAAACCGATTAACAGCCCTAATTCGAAGTACACTCAATGTTGGTTTAGTTTATGAGCGGGACACTACAGGTGGGCAGTTATGCATTGGCTATGTTGATTCGGATTATGCCGGGGATTTGGATAAGCGCCGGTCTACGACAGGGTATGTGTTTACTTTGACTCGTGCGCCGGTGTGTTGGAGATGCACCTTACAGTCGACGGTGGCTTTGTCTACGATGGAGGCAGAGTATATGGCAGTTACGGAGGTTGTGAAGGAGGCTATTTGGCTTCGAGGACTTTTGGAGGAACTTGGTATATCGCAGAGGTCCGTCACTATTCATTGTGATAGCATGAGTGCTATCTATTTGGCGAAGAATCAGGTTTTTCATGCGAGGACGAAGCATATTGACGTTCGTTATCACTTCGTTCGGGATGTTCTTGAAGATGGCGATGTGGAGATTGTTAAAGTCCACACGAAGGATAATCCGGCAGATATGCTCACTAAGGTGGTTCCGAGCAACAAGTTTGGTCATTGTCGAAACTTGTTGCACATTCGTGATTGTTGAGGCCGTTGGCGGCCATTTGGGTGAACTATGTTCGGCTTGATTCCTTGGGCAAGAGGATACGTAGGCAGTCTTTCAGATGCAGCCGGTTGGATTAGTTGATTTTGATGGGGGTGAGATTGTTTGGACTCTCGTTCGGGTTCTCGACGTGTTGTGGATTGAGTTCGTACTGGTCACAACAAATGGGACATTTGGTTGCTTTGGTATCGGCTCTGTTTTGAGAAAACTTCACCGAGATGGAGAATTGTGTGAACGCATTTATTGTGGGGGGGGCCACCCACGTGATTGGTTGTGCGTGAAGAGGACAGGCCCACCCGATGATTTGAAGCTATATATAGCTTCAATTTTTTCTCCTAGGTTTTTTGTGCAAGGCTTGATTGATTTTGGGGTTGTGTGGCTGCGGAAGATTTGCTTTGGCTGGCTGCGGGAGAAATTTTTCGGCTTTGGGTATTTTTCTTCAGCAGAGGAGATTTGTTTTGGTGCAGTCCTTTTGTGCAGCCTTTTGAGAGAGTTTTGTGTGAGGGATTTGAGAGTTTGTTTGAGGGTTTAGATTGTGAGTGATTGTAAACCCTAGTTGTATTCTCTCCCTCTATTAGTAGATCTCCCCCTCCTTGCCCCGTGGACGTAGGCAATTTTCCGAACCACGTAAAAATTGGTTGTACTGCTTTTATGTGATTTGTAATAGCTTTTTAGGTTCCCTCGACGCACAGTCCTAAAGCTGACGAGAGGAAGAGCTAATATCCTACTTTGATAGGATATTAGGCTTCAGATTCTTGTTCCCTTTGAGAAACAAGAATTCTTATTGCGACCTGACTCTCTTGTTGTGCTGCCGAAGTGCTGCCGAAAATTCTGCTGCGCGCAACAGACACCACACTAGGGTGTGGTGGAGCCTGTTTTATTTATTCTTCACGTTTTTCTCAATTCCTTCGCCGTTTTCACAGAAAATAATAAGGATCATGGATCAAATCCATCGGACACATGTTTACAAAGACAGGTGTCCTTGATTGGCACAAAACAAAATATTCTAGGATAAATTCATTGATTCGAGGGCTCTTCTCTTTTTTTTGATACATTATGATCAGCAATGAATTCATAACAAATTAGAATGTTCTATTCATCAGTAAGTAAGAGCAAAGAGGGGATGGTGGGTGATTATATCCCACTATACTGGCTCATGTGTTATATATGCATCAAAGATTTGATGATGGTGGGTGATTATATCCCACTATATATACTGGCTCATGTGTTATATATGCATCAAAGATTTGATGATGGTGGGTGATTATATCCCAAAATACTGGCTCATCTTTTTGCCTATTCATCAAGCCCATCCATTTTATCATATTGCGCCCCTTCATGAAAACATTGCTGCCATCTCCTTTCAGTGCTTTCGCCAACTTTGCCAGCTACTTGATACAATAACCAGAAACCTCTGTTATCCCCACGTATTAGTTCGACCTTATCTTCTTTTATATTCTCACGGTCAAAATTAAGATAGCTAAATAAACCCAGTTTTTTCTATCATATACTGTTTAGGTGATTGTCGCAATTTATCTTAATTCAAGGAAAAGTTGAAATTAGTGCAAATATATAGAGATTGATCAGAAAAAGGTAAATGCTAGACTGAATTTCTACCCCCCACTAAAAAATAGACGGTTATGATAAATAAATTAAAAAAGTAAAAAAAATTCACTTATTTTTTTTATAGTGAGACTGGAGGGGGTTCAAATCCTAGGAAAATGATGCACACGAGCTAGGGAAGTTAGAATATCAGCGTGCAAATCTCTAAAGAGTCTATTAATTTAACAATTGATCAATATTTTTTTGATACACCGTTAATGCAAATATATCAGAAAACATTTGACATTCGTAGCGGGGAAGATGTTAATATACTGGTCTATAGAAAAACAATTTCGGTGATCCATGTCACTCTGTAATATTAATTAATGATACACCAAAGAGATGCGCTTTACTAGATTGGGGGATATGGGGATCAATGTAATCCAAGGCTAAACATGATTCTGATGAAACCATTCATAAGAACCCAAACCCATCGTGCATAAGAGCCCACACTTCCCAAGATGAGCAACAACCCGAAAAATAAAGAAATAAAATAAAAAAAAAGCAAAAGAAGGCGTCAACAATGCAGAGGATCGTAGTTTTTACAACATTGCTTCTTGTATCATGTGTTCATAATGCACATGCACGAGAGGCGCGTCACCAGGTGAGGCCGTGGAAGACAAACTGCATGCTGGTGTTCGGAGACTCCACGGTGGACGCTGGGAACAACAACCGGCTGTCGACCACCTTCAAGGCCAACTTCTTGCCCTACGGCAAGGATTTCTTCGACGGACGGCCCACCGGAAGGTTTTCTGATGGGAGGCTTGCTTGTGACTTCATTGGTACGCCCAACACGCGCACGCTCCCTCATTCATATCTAGCTAGGATACGACCACTCTTCACTTGGTACTGTTTCTAGTTAGATTTTAGTCTGCTTCTTAGTCCCTTTCACTATGCTATGGGCCTATTTGGCGACTCAGTTTAAACTAGCTAAGTGGAAAAAAAGTAGTATAAGTCCTGACCTTAGTTTAGCAAATAATCCGGATAGGACATAAACTGGTTTTCTTAGGTAGTTTTCTGGTCCTAAACCAGTTCAGAATTTTGTCTACTTCCTTTTTTCTAGAACTAAATAAGTTGGTAGCTAAATCAATTTATCTTAACAGAGCATCTCCAACAGCTTCTCTAAAATTTTCTCCAAAATAAGAAAGCAAAAGTCATATTCTCCAAATTATTTTTACACCAACTCCAACAGCTTCCCCATTTTGAAGAATCCTTTTAAAGTCATATTCTCCAAATTATTTTTACACCAACTCCAACAGCTTCCCCATTTTGAAGAATCCTTTTTTTCCTCCAAAAATCTTCCCCATTTTGAAGAATCCTTTTTTTCCTCCAAAAATTTGGAGAATGCTGCAGATTTGGGGAAGCTTTCCCATTTTTTCTCCTCTATCTCTATTTTGAAGAATGAGATGGGGAATCTGTTGGACCAAAAACCTAACTATATTCTCCAAAAGTAGGAAATTGGGAAGCTGTTGGAGATGCTCTAGAGTTGTGAGAGTTATGATGAGAGTTAAAGGTTATAATTTTATATATTAATATGTCCATGCAGACTGAACGTGCTTTTACCGAAGGACACGAATGGCTATATCTTATACAATGGTATTTTGTTTTGTCTAGAGTCCGCTTAAAATATTGTTTTGTGAGATTTAGATTAATTGAATTGTTCGTATACCATCTTTAACTCGTTTGATATCATAACTTCCAATTGTCATGACGGTTAAGGCATATAATGTGTTGAAAGATGTGAAGAGCACGTGAGTGCTTGAGGGATTGTTTCCACGTGAGTGCTTGAGGGTTTCTTTTGTTTCCTGGACAATAACCGGCCCACCCGTTTGTCCTTTGTGCATATATATAAACCTAGTTAATTGACCTAGGTAGGTGTGCGAAGGAGGGGAGTTTAGTCGGCTTTTTTCTTTTTCTTTAGCGGCTGCGCAGGTGCAATTGAGGCGGCTGCAGTGCTAAGGCAAAGGGGAGAGAGAGAAAAAGGCGGCTGTGGATTTTTTCTTGGGCTTCGTGCAGAGGAGAAAAATCCTATTTGGTGGCTGTTTTGTGAGAGATTAGAGAGTTAGTTTGAGGGTTTAGTTTGTCTTTCCCTCTATTAGTAGATCCCCCTCCTTGCCCCGTGGACGTAGACAGTTTTCCGAACCACGTAAAAATTGATTGTTTGAGTTTGTGGCCATTGTAATAGTTTTTAGGATCCATTGACGCGCAGTCCTAGAGCTGACAAGAGGAAGAGCTAATATCTCACTTTGATGGGATATTAGGCTTTCAGATTCTTGTTCCCTTTGAGAAACAAGAATTCTTATCGATCTTTCTCTCTTATTGTGCACCAGAAACTCTGCCAAAATTTTCGCTGTGCACAACAAGTGGTATCAGAGCTCGGGCTACGCTTGGGCTATTTGGAGGAGTAGATCAATTTGGAGGCTCATCTAGGGCTTTGTTTGGTGATAAAGGTGAGATCTTTTGGTAAAGACTCTATCTTTTTAGTTTTGGATCTATCCTTCGTTCGTTGGTGCGTAAGATGTCGGGGAAAGAAGGTGCTTCGGATGTTGAGGGTGGTTCTTCTGGCGCGAAGACCATTCAGAGTTTGAATATCCACTCTATGAAGATAGATGTGAAGAAATTTAATGGCACAAACAACTTTGGATTATGGAGATGCGAGGTTTTGGATGCGCTGAACGCGCAGAATTTAGAGGATACATTAGAGTTAGATAGCAAGCCAGATGAGATTGAAGAGAAGGTTTGGAAGAAGATGAATCGAACGGTGTGTGGTGTAATTAGGTCTTGTTTGACTCAAGATCTAAAGTATGATGTGATGAATGAGACTTCTGCGAAGAAGATTTGGGAGATTCTCGAAAGCAAGTATTTGACCAAGAGTGTGGAAAATCGCTTGCATTTGAAGAGGAGACTTTATCGTTTCCAATTGAAGAAGGGAACCTCCATTAGAGATCACATGAACCACTACACAAAGTTTCTTGCGGATTTGGCGAATGTGGATGTCATAATTGAGGATGAAGACAAGGCGTTACTGTTGTTGAGTTCCTTGCCCGACGAGGAATATGAAACCTTCGTCCTTACTCTGATTAATGGGAAGGCATCACTTTTGTATAATGAGGTCACTGCTGCACTTGTGAATTATCAGCTTCGAAAGAAGGATAAGGAGGCTTCAGTTGAGCCGGTAGCGGAGGCGTTGGTCGCAAGAGGGAAGAGTCCAAACCGAAAGAATTAGAAGTCACAGTCTAGAGTAGGAAAAGATCAGTGTGCTTGGTGCAAGGAGACTGATCATTGAAAGAAAGACTGCCCAAAGCTCGACGAATGGATGAAAAATAAGCAGAAGGAAAAAGGGAAGCAGCCATTATCAGAAGCAAACATCGTATCGAATGGTAATAATTCTGACTCTTCTATTTATTCGCTTTCTATCAGTCCTACAGATAGCTATACGGAGGAATCTGAATGGATGTTGGATAGTGGTGCGACCTATCATGTGTGCCCTAGAAGGGAATGGTTCTCTAGTTTTGAGAAGCTGGTGGATAGTGGTGTGGTGTACATGGCTGATAACCGTGCATGCCAAATCCTTGGGATAGGAAGAATTCGCATCAAAATGTTTGACGGGACTGTTAGGGAGTTAAATGATGTGAATATGTTCCTTCTTTGAGGAAGAACTTGATCTCGATTGGAGCTTTGGTTGGAGAGGGTCTGAAGGTTCGTGTTGAGGACATGGTTCTCGAGATTGCGAGAGACTCTCGTATTTTGATGAAGGGTGTGTAGGCATCAAAAATTGCCTATAGGTCTCCACGAATAACTCAGTGTTAAGGAACGACGATGAACGTCACTATCCGGTTCACAGGAGTTCGATTGATGTCGATGAACGCTTGAAGTAAATCGACAAACTACGTGAACTAACGAAGGTACGGGCTAATCGAGAGTCCCGTAATGTTTACAAAAGGAACAACGCCCTTCGTGTCTCATTCATTCAATAGATGATCCAACCATCGGAGCTGATAGAACTCCTTGTCGGCTTTCCAACGCACTTCGAATCACTCAAATCCGAGGCCGGATAAAGGAATTACAGCAGAAACAGATCAAAAAAAAACACCAAAGGAGTGTCTCGGACCAACGAGACACCCTTGGGTGTCTCGACCAAGGCCGAGACACCCTAGGGTGTCTCGGATCAATGGGAGACACCCTAGGGTGTCTCCGAACAAGTGGAGACACCCTGGGGTGTCTCCAAGGCAGATTTGGGCCTTTAAGTATTTTTAACCGCTCCGTTCCCCCCAAAAGCCTATAAATACAAGCCTTAGGCCTCATTTTTTCAGATCTGGATTTTTGGAGAATTGGCGAAGCCCTGCCGAACTCAAGAGTGATCGAGCACTTCAACGCAAGAGAGTTTCTTCGTCAGATCTACATCACCCGCATCCGATCCTTAGTCTTATCCCGTTGTGGTAATTCTAAGAAGAGCAACTATCTCGCTTTTATCGAGATAGGCGCTTCAAGTTTCTAGATCTCCTCGCAGATCGATGAAGCTCTGGACCAGATCTGATTGCCAGGTAGTCCACGGATATCGACATCCCCGTCACAGGCTAAAGACCCACGTAAGCAAGAGACGACGAACGGATCTTGTGTTTATTTTTAAGAAAGTTGTAATCTTTTTATTCTTTGTTGTTTGAATTCATTTGTAACGTTTAAAGTTTAATAAAATCAATGATGAAGGCAACTTTCGACGAAAACAAACTGGCAACCACAGTGGGAGCCAACGGCCTCGCTGCCGAGGCCGTCGTGATGCAACCTACAATCAAGATCTGGGTGAGCGAAGACATCGAATATGAATTCGATCAACAGAAGTTCGAAGAGTACCTCTCTTCTTCCTCCTCCAGATCCGCCTCTCAATTCGATCAACAGAAGTTCGAAGAGTACCTCTCTTCTTCCTCCTCCAGATCCGCCTCTCCAAACAGGCATAGGAAGGTCTCCTCTTCCAGAAACACTCGCAGGGCTTCAGATCTGAAGACCAAGGATCCCCTCGTCGTCGCCACGCCCATGTCTCGCGATGTCCCAACGGCATCCGGAGAGGTCGAAGCTGCAGATCCAGATCTCCCTTCCACCGCTAAGTCAACTGCTGAAGGTGTTCCAACCTTGTCAAAGATGGCACGCCAAAGACGGCGTCAACGCCTTGCGCGGCAATTAGCCAAAGCGTCAGAATCGATGGACGAGATCCGCTACAATGAGGATCTAAAGTCCAGACAGCGCCAGGAGCAACAACGGAGAACAACCAACTCCTCCTCCAAGACAGAGACGAACGAATGGGTTCGTGTCAAGAGGACTCGCTCAACCCTCGAAGAGCGAATCAAGAAACGCCGCGCATTGCTTGCGCATGCCCGAGTCCTTCTGCAGAAAGCGAAAGAGATGCAGAAAGAAGAGACGGTCAAGAAGCCGTCAAAACACAAGCAAGTGTGGGTGCCAAAGGCGATCAAAACACAAGCAAGTGTGGGTGCCAAAGGCGAAGCCGGCACCTAAGACAAAAGGGGACGGAGGTATCATCCAGCCTTCTTCAAATCCAGATCCCGTTTCCCCTGCTCCCGCACCTCCGGCGGAGCCAGGTAAGAACATGGATTCTTCAAGATCCAGGGTTCCTTTGAAAGGTCGCCTCGGCCCTTTACCAGAAGATCGAGGCAAAGCACCTATCAAGGAGAGATTGGGACCATTGAAAGGTCCCCAAACAACGAACCAGACTGGGGGTCGTGCTAATCCCCCCAAGAAAGATAACAAAGGGAAAGCCCCTGTTACCGAC